CGGTCAGGAAGTAATAGCCCCTACATCACGTTCGAAGAGCCTATCACAGGCTACGATATCGCTGCCGCCGTAGCGTTATAACTTGCAGAAGGTTAGAGATTCTAGCTAACCCAGAACAAAGAAGGTCAATAGAGAACACGACAATCGGATAACGAACCTATTGGCCCGAACCCTATCTTTCTCGCTTAACGCCTCCAGGAGGTTGAAGAAGAACAAGCCGAGCTTCGAACGGTTACCCGAAGACTCGCGGAAGAAAAGGCTCAGGCTATAAGCCAGCTGGAATTCGTCAAGGCCAAGTTAGTCAGGGTCTAGGAAGAGCACCACTCGAACTTATAGGATGGACCGGCATAAGACCAAGGCCAAAATAGGAGGAATGGCGGAATCAAGAACCCCAAAGCTGAATACTAGAAGGCCTAGAACCAGCGAAGACTCAAGGGACAGGAACCACAAGATTAGGACACTTTTTAGAATAAGAAGCCGTATAATAGTATAGGGGATAGCAACGCGGTGCACATCTGGATTGGATTCGGCCCGCGCTACAAACCCTACGAACAAGACGTACTTCGACTCCAACCCTAGCGATACGACTACATCTACGTCCTATAGTTCCAGTACATCGCGTACGAATGCCGATACTATTTCCGATCAAAATTCGACAACGACTTTTGGCCTAATAGGCCTACCGACCAAAATAGAGAACCTCGACTAGTCCTATAGGTTTAGGATATAGGAACCGGCGCCGACTAGTTCCTATAGAAGGTCGAGAGGACCAATACCTACAATAGAATCAGGGTGACACTATAAAGAACCCAGCCAGAAGACTGCCAGCAGTGGCCTAATAGCACTCGATAGTGCAAGAGCCAGGATTACTTAATCCACATATAAGCAAAGCTCTAAGAGCATCACGAACACAAGATATATATACAAAGATAGATAACGCCTCGCGAACACAAAGATAGATAACGCCTCGCGAACGACGGCAGGAAGAAAGAAGAGCCAATGAAACCCGACGGTTATTCAAAGAACTCCCAAGACTTGGACCGCAGGACGGTAACCGAGAGGTACAGGAGGATAGGGACGCCTATCCAGATACTAGGACGGAGTTAGGAAACGGCTCAGGGCCCTCCAAGGGGCCCGAAAACCACTAAATCCATTATAAAGACAATAGATCCGCAGGTATAGGAAGAACTACGCAAGAAGAAGGATCTACGACCTCCTAGCGAGCATAAAGGAAGCCGCTGCAATATAGGATAACAAACCCGACAATAGAATTTGGGTTACAGCATATTGGAATAAATTCCAGATATTAGCATTGGTAGATAGAGGATCTTAGGTTGACCTTATCTTGCCAGCACTTATCAACCAACTTAGGATCCTATAGGGGATCAAGAAGAAACAATATATTGTTAAAGGACTATTTAATACCTAGTGGGTCTAACGAGAAATAGAACTACTTATGATTATAGTAGAAGGGAAAACTACTAAGGTAGTATTTGACATTGTTAAAATAGGGCCTAAAAAGGATATAATCCTTGGACGCCTATAGCATTAAGATTACAACCCAGACATCAGTTGGAAGGGAGGTAGCCACCTACGACCTTGAGAACAGAGGCTATATCCGACCAATAAGATAGGAAGCATAGACGACAGATCATAGCAGGGAAGATCGCCCTAGGAGGCGGCCCCTATAGATCTACCGCAAGAGACAGACAGTGCCAGGCAACGCACTACGGACTTAGGAAGAGGCGGCAGTCACTAGAACGAACAGCGAGAATTAGCAAGACCAGGCTAGAGACGACGCCACTTGCGACGACGCCCTCGTACGGCTTAGAGAGACATAGACAATATCGAAATCGCTGTCATCTCGATCAACGAGACCGGAGAATTCGAATTCCAGGATTAGGTCACCTAGAGAGAAGCGGCCAGCATTATAGCTAGAAACAAGTTCTTATACTACCGAAGTACAGAGAAAAACGCGGAGACGGGCAAGATCCCGGCAGAGTACTAGGGACACCCGGCGTTCGAAGCCAAGCATCTTAAAGGGCTACCGGACTATGGACCTTGGGATTATAAAATCAAACTCAAGGAAGGAGCCTAGTTAAAGTTCTTCAAGGTATACTATACTAACAAAAAGCAAGATACTAAGTTAAGGAGATATCTTAAGGAGAATCTCAAGATAGGGTATATTAGACTATCGATATTACTAGCGGGTTATCTAGTCCTATTTGTTCTAAAAAAGGATAGGAAGCTTCGGATATATATAGACTACCGATAGTTGAACGAAGAGATAGTAAAGAACCGGTACCCCTTGCTACTTATCTTGCGGCTTCGAGACCAGCTAGTAGGCGCCTGTTACTTTACTTGTCTTGACCTTTTAATAATATACGCCTATATTTATATCAAGGAAGGGGATAAATAGAAGACAGCATTTCGTACTCCCTATAGCTATTATAAGTATCTTATAATACCCTTCGGATTGACAAACGCACTAGTGACCTTCTAGGTGGTCGTTGACTATGCGATCCGCCTATTCCTCGACCGATTCGCGGTCTATTACCTAGATAATATCCTTATCTTCTCTAAGATACTCGAGGAATATAAGAAATATATAAAGGCAATGCTAGATATACTCTATAAATATAAGTTATTAGTTAATAAGGATAAGAGCGAATTCTATATTACGAAAATAGTATTTCTTAGATATAAAATTTCGCCTAGTAGAATTAGGATAGAGCCAGCAAAGATTAAAGCGATTAAAATATAGCCACGACTAACAACGACGATAGAAGTATAAGGATTTATCGGATTCGCTAACTTCTACCGAATGTTCATTAGGAACTTTAGCGACCTTATACGACTATTGTACGAACTTACGAAGAAAGACATCGAGTTCCGGTAGGAAGCCGAGCATAAGCAAGCATTTTAGAAGATCCGCGATGCGATTATTGCTAACCTAGTGCTCTAGTTACTAGACCTATAGAAGCCATTTAAGGTAGAGACCGACGTATCCGATTATACGATCGGGGGACAGCTAGGTTAGCACGACGAATATAGGAAGTTATACCCAGTTGTATTCTTTTTAAAGAAGCTCGAAGGACTACGGCTCAACTACCTAATCTACGATAAGGAGTTGCTAGCTATCATCGAGGCTTTTTAAGAATAGAGACTATACCTCAGCGGTACAACTTATAAAGTTCAGGTCTATATAGACTATAAGAACTTACAATACTTTACTACCATAAAGGTATTAAACGGATAACAAACTCAATAGGTAGAGTTCCTTTTAGAGTTCAATTTTAAGATCAATTATAAGAAAGGCTTAGAGAATACGCGAGCAGACGTATTAAATAGAAGGCCAGATCACTTTAGAAATAGCCAACCAAAAGCCTCGCCACTATTACTTCAATAATAGCTAGACGGTTCTTTATAGTACGCTCCCCAACCGATGGAAGATCCTGACGACGATATGCTTCTATAATAGGGCGAAGACCCCGACTTATAACCTCTGTAACCGTTTGAAGAATGTTATATAGTCTTTAGAGAAGAACAGCTAGGAAAAGACTTCCAGGACCGGAAAAGGAACAACATAGATAATAAGGCAGGTATCTCTTAGAGAGATAGAGCGTTATAATACAACAGCAAGGCCTATATCGCACTATAGGATCAAATAGAACTGATCAAGATACTTCACAAGTCGAAGCTCGGAGGATATATAGGAATCACCAAAATAGTCGCCAAGGTTCGGCAATACTATAACTTCCTAGGACTTAGGACCAGAGTCAAAACCATTATATAGGAATACAACCTCTATAACCGAAGCAAGTCGGTACGGCATAAACCATATAGACTCTTAGAGCCATTGCCAGTTATAGAACAACCATAGAGTTCGGTGACGATAGACTTCATCACTAAACTACTACTTTCGAAGGATTCAACTACTAGAACAAAGTACGATAGCATCCTTACTATAGTTGACCAACTCACCAAGTGGAGCTACTTCTTCTCGTATAAGGAATCATAGTCAGCAGAGCAACTCGCAGATACAATCTACTGGCATATTGCATCAGTATACGGATAGCCAAAGGAATAGATCACGGATCGAGACACCAAGTTCGCATCAAAATTTTGGCAAGCCCTTATAAAGCGTTTAGGCACGAAGAGCAAGCTTTCAACAGTATACCACCCGCAAATAGATAGCCAGACAGAAAGGCTTAACCAGATCGTCGAACAATACCTCAGAACGTTCGTCAACTTCTAGCAGGACGACTAGGTTGATCTATTGCTAGCAGCACAGCTTGTATATAACACCATACCAACAGAGATAATAAAGGTCACTCTATTCTTCGCGAACTATAGGTACAAAGCAGATTTATACTAGGGACTAGATATCACGGTACCTAGGGCAAAGGTCAAGGTAGAAAAAATATATACGCTATATATAATACTAAAAGAAGAACTCGAGTTCGTTAGGCTCTAGATGAAGAAGTATTATAATAAGTATCGGCTCGAGGGACCTCGCCTTGAGAAAGGAGATATAGTCTACCTTATTTCTTAGAATTTAAAAATGAAACGGCCAAGTCAAAAACTTAACTTTAAAAAGATTGGACCGTTTAAGGTTGATAAGAAAATTTCGGCATCTAACTACCGACTTTCGTTACTATCAACGATGAAGTTATATACTAACGTCTTCTATATTTCGCTCCTTGAACTAGTACCGAAGAATATATAAATGGCAAAGGATATCGAAGCTAGGGATAAAGAAGAAGAATAGGACGTTAAAGAGATCTTGGACTTATAAATAATTAACGGAAGGCTAGAGTACTTGATTAAATAGCTCGACTTCGGGCCAGAGGAAAACTCATAGGAACCAGCAGAGCACCTCAACTATATAGAAAAACTAAGAGAATTCTACCAATAGAACCTAGATCGGCCAGGAGGGAAATACAAAAATCTCCGGCCGGGTCACGTCACCCCATAGTAACGCGACCTATATAGAGAAGAAGCCCAGATGGGATTTGAACCTATAGTCTCCCAGAGCATTCATTCGGGCGTGATAACCAAGCTATACTACTAAGCCATTTCATTTGTTAGAAAACGGGCAACAAGAACCAGATTAAGAACCCTAGAAGGGAAAGAACAGCTGCAGGCAGCAACGCTACAGACAATACACGCAACGGCAGGCGCGACCAAGACCTGACCACCAGCTACGAACCCCTACTACCTTGGGAAACCGAAGGGCTTCCACCGCCAGAGCCCTATGCGGTCAAGAAAGAAGGACCCTCCCTAATAGCACCCAAGTCCATAGGAGCATCCAACCAGTCAAACCCTGCGAAAGGATCCGGCACGAGGGGCGTTGGCGAAGCAGGTACGGGAGTAGCTACGCGCTTCTTATGTTCCTCATGCTCCTTACGCTCCAAGTCCGAAATATCCCGAAGTTCCCGGGATACCGCTTTCCTTACCCTCTCCTCCAAAGCACGCTTCTACTTGCGGAGACAAAGCAGCTTCACTAAAATCTCCTCCTCCTTACGCTCAAGCTTGTCCTTCTCGGAAATAAAGGAGCGAACTAGTACTATCAGTACCAACGATAGGCAGCGGCAAAAACCAACTCATATATCCCCAGATCGATGCCCTAGATATCGTAGGACGGGCGGTTCATATAGTTATAGGAACTATAACGTTTGGAGGTGCCAGATACCTGACAATCGAGCCTATGCTTATAGCAATAGGAACACTTAGGCATTAGGAATCCAGAAGATACAGCAAAATCGGCGAGGCAAGACCGGCGCTAAGTACTCGACCCGGCTTGAGCTTTTTCGCTTTCGCATACGGTCAGCCATGACTGGCGAAGATAGGAGGATGCAGAAGGAGAAACACTTATAGCTAAGGACTGTTGGCGCTATTTCAGAATACAGGAAGAATAAGGTCGCCGAGGCGTCGACCTCGGAGAGGGGACATCGTATCACAAATTAAGCCAACGGGACAGCTATAGGTGGGACAACCCGACGGGTGGCGCAGGGCGTACCTAAACCAATCATTTAGGACCAATGAGAAGGAGCTCTAAGGTGCTCTAGAGAGCAGACGAGAGCTTCAGGAGCTAAGCCAATCAACGCGAGGAAATAGAAGCTCTCGATGGAGTCAACAGAGCACCGAGCTCTAGGGAGCTCTATAGAGCACATGAGAGCACCCAAAGATAGTCAGTATATAGTCACTCGTTCTAGAGGACTCTGGGAGTTCTCCAGTAAGCAATACAAGCAATAGCCTCTACCTATTGTGCAGACATTGCGGCCAGCATTGTTGTGAACCTTTTGGCTTCACCGAGACCTACAGTCCGACCAGCAGTTACCTTCGACCGGCGAACCCTTTCAGAGGCAGGACTGCCTGTGGTTTCGTCACACCTATGTTGTACTATAGGATTAGATGGAACTAATTAAGATGATCTATAAGTCGAAACTCGGAGGATATATAGGAATCGTTAAAATAGCCGCCAAGGTTCGGCAGTACTATAACTTCCTAGGACTTAGGACTAGAGTTAAAAACTTTACATAGGAGTATAACCTCTATAACCGAAGCAAGTCGGCACGGTATAAACTATATAGGCTCTTAGAGCTATTGCCAGTTATAGAACGACTATGGAGTTCGGTGACAATAGACTTTATTACTAAACTACTACTTTTGAAAGACTCAACTACTAGAACAAAGTATAATAGCATCCTTACTATAGTTAATCGACTTACCAAGTGGAGCTACTTTGTCCCATACAAAGAATCATGGTTAGTGTCACGGGATTACCCGACCTCTGGTTATGTGCCTCTGCTCCAATATTTAAGGTCTGGTCGCATACACACTGCTGTCATCTAGATCTTGCTCTCTCTCTATCGTAATTGTATGTGCGAGCTGACCCGACTGGTGCCCGTCACAGTTAGCAGAGCAACTTATAGATACGATCTACCAGCATATTGTATTAGTATATATATATATTCTCCTACTCCGCTATGCCTAGCTATTTACAAGGCGTGCCGGACCCTCTACTGCTATGTACAAAGGAAAAACCGTACCGTTTAGGCCGGGTGAAAACCTTCATCAAAAATAATAGGAAAGACATGGTTCCAGTGATACACGCTGCTGCAAGTAAAGAAAAAGGCCTTGGGAAGGCCTTGGGCCAACGGCTAGTAGGGTGCTAGCCCAGCTAAGCCGTGGCCACGGGTGTGGTTAGCCGAGCTCCCTGGCTTCCAGTTCCTGATCTAGGTTCTGGGCGAGCCTGTATTCCCCTAGCCGGCCCGAGTTCATCAGCCAACCCAGTACCTTCTTCAGAAGTCTTCGGTTCCGGTAGCCTAGGCCCTGTAAAACAAGGCTAAGGTCCCGGTGGGTGCGTATTAGTTGCCTAGGCCAGATTCTTGGTATAGGTGGTATAGAGCACCAAACTACTAGGTGCTCCACTGTCTCCCGGCCTTCTCCGCATTCGCAATAGGGGGTAGGCTGGTTACGGGCCTTTTGTTTAAAAAGAAAGTCCCGTAGGCCTATAGCCTCCGTACGGGCCTATACTAGTAGGGAGCTCTTGGCCTTTGTAAGGCCTTGGTGTTTCCGTAGGCCTTGGTTTGTGAAGAGAACTGTTGGTAGGCCTTCGTCGGCTAGCCTGGTTGGCTGTCCCTGGACCTGGGTTTTCCACCTGGCCTCCCAAGCTCTTAATAATGCCCAGTCATCCTGGGTCTTAGCCAATGGTGGGCCCAAGGCTTTAGCCTGGGCGTTCCATTCGGCCACTATAGCCGAGGCCTTTTCGACGTCTATTGGCTTTCCTAGGCTCCGGGGCCGGCCCCGTAGCCTCCGGAACCTTCGTTGGAGCCTGTTGCAAGCCCCTTGGATGATTCCTTTGGTGGGCGTCTCGGGGCCTCTGGGCCTAGCCCGGCCTGTAGGGTAGGCTCGTTGAGCCGGCCTTCGAAGTCGGCCAGCCTCTTGTTAAGGTAGAGGTCTAGGGGAGGGATCCAAGTTTCCGTCTCGAGGTTCCGTATAGGGGTGGCCTTGTAGGCTCCGGTTACGATGCGTAGGCTTCGGTTCTGGGCCTTTGCTAGGTCCCTGGCTAGGCCTTGTGGTGGGCCGTTGAGTGTTGTAGGCTTGTGGAAGCTGGATGCCCCATAGGCTATTGCGCTACGAATGCACTTGGTATAGACCTCTCTGGCCCTGATTAGCCCCGGGCCCCAGGTCTTGGCTGCTATCCTTGATAGGGCAAAGTCTTGGGTTCTTAGCTTGGTAGCTATGCTGGCTCCGTGGGCCTTCCAAGAAAGCCTCCAGTCGAGCCAGACCCCTAAGAACCGGGCTGAAGCCGTTGGTTTAACTATAGTATGGTCATGAGGGTGGCCCGGTTTGGCTAGTCGTAGTAGTTCAGACCACTGTTTACGGCCTTTGTTGAAGTGGATCAGCTCTGACTTGGCCCCATTGAATTCCATTCCGTAGGATCTAGCCCACTGTAGGCATGTAGCCCAGGCTTGTTCCAGTTGCCGGCAGTTGATATAGGGGTCCCTTCCAAAGGCTAGGATGTTGGTGTCATCTGCGAATCCCACTAAGCTGACTAGAGGGTGCTTTTCCTTTAGTACTTTATATAGCGAGGCTATATATAGTATAAAGAGGATTGGTGATAGTGGTGATCCTTATGGCACTCCAGCTCGGATGTCGATTTCCGGGGCAAGTTGGCTGTCGAATAGGAGTGTGGCCTTCCGGCCCGTTAGCCACGACCGTAGCCAACCTACAAGCCACTGCGGGAGCCCGAGGTCCCGGACTGTAGCCAGTAACCGGGTATGATTTACCCGGTCGAAGGCCCCTGTGAGATCTAACTGCAATAGGGAAGCCGTAGCGCGTTGTGTCCAGGCCTCTTGGATCTGGGCTACCATAAGCCGAATGGCTAGGTCTGTTGACCTATATTCCCGGTTACCCATCTGCTCGTCGGGTAATAGGCCATAGGCTTCGGCTGCCTCTGTGATTCTTTTGGTAACCACTATTTCCACTACCTTGCCAATGGTAGGAAGAAGCGAAATAGGCCTATAGCCTCTGGGGGTAAGGTAGTCAGCTGGGGTTTTACCAGGCTTTGGGAGCACTATAGCTATAGCCTCCTTTAGCCTGGCCGGCACCCATTGTAGTTCGAGGCATCTCTGGGTGAGTAGTGCGAGGATCCTGTACAACGGCCTACCACAGGCCTTCAATAGGCCTATAGGGAGGTAGTCGTTACCTGGGGCCTTCCAGGGAGCGGCCCGGGCAATGGCATCTTGTATGTCCCTAGCACTAACCACCTGGCTTATTGGGATCTTCAGTTCCCACGGCTGGGAAAAGGTGGGATCTTGGATGTTGGAGAGGTCGGCTGGCGGGCTTGGAAAGAAACGGTTGGCCAGGGCCTGGGCCTTCTGGCCTTGAAGTCCTTAGATTATCACTCTACAAACGTGCTACCTAAGCGTAATCGCGAAGATCCGCCTTATAGAGGTAATCTAATCAGAGAGGCAAGGCCAAACCTCTCTACCGGACCAAGCATAACAATACTAGGCCACGGGACTCCAAGGTTTGCACCTTAAGCCCTCCACAAGAGGCATAATACTTCCTCCCTCTTGGATGACCGACACGCGCGTCCGTCCTCTCCGGCCGGCTATACTACTCCTTCAGAGCCATGAGTTCCTTGTAGCGGCGACACCATACATTTGATCCCCAGCTATAGTACTCTCTAGTACGTCCTATCGGCGGTTTCCTCCCCTATCGTACGCCTCTGGCTAAAGGAGCACGCTCCCCGCCGCGTACGATATTCCTACGGGTCCCTCGCCGAGGGAATAGCTATGTCTCTCCTATAGCCTAGGTACAAGCCAGGGCCATACCTCCGTTATCCTCCTCTCGGTCTAGTATAGCCGCCACAGCCTACCTTCCGCCAAGCGCAACCCTAACTTCTAGCTTCCCGTTGCCTTGCTAGGTCTCCCTCATAAGGCCGACCGTGTCTTGCAGCAGGCCGTCGTACGAGCTGCCATGCCGGTGCAGCTCGCTCGGTCGCTCTGCTACTAACCTGCCCTGATCCACCTGCCTCGCCTCCTATCCTCAGATCCAACTACA